CCCATTTAAGCTGATCCAGGTGTAAGTGATCCAGGTCTCTCCTTAAGAGAACCCAGCATCACCTGCTTTGGCACCGGCTCCTTCTTTCTACACATGAATTATTTAAAACAGGAGACAGGATCCTCTTTGGCCTTAAGGAAGCCATGGGGCAGGCATTACAGTCCCACAGCCTAGGTGCGCGTTTTTAAAGCAAGCACCTCCTTCCCAGTTCCCAGACATCAGCTCACAGGGAAACAGTCTGCCAGCACGTGGAATAGATTTCTCTCAGGCAAAACTAAACGAATTGGGTCTCTCCTCCACCCCCCACCCTCCCCCAATTTTTACCAGTGGCAGTCCTTGGGCTGACACCAACAGCAAGAAACCGCTGATGACAGCACAAATCCATCTTCTCCTTTGCCACCCCTAAGTCATGCTGGAGGTTACTCTTGGCCTTTTCTGAAACCATCCCTGTTAAAAATGCAGCTGGAACCTCAGCTGCTGTTTGCAAGCACATCAGTTAGAGACCTTTTGACCTTTTCAATGAGACTCACCAGCTTTTATTAAGAGACTTGTTTTTCCTCAAGAAGACCTGTTATATTTGTACTCTCCTCTTTCATTCATAAATTAAGGCCTGAAGCAGCTGTCGGTCAAGTGTCACTTTGTCTAGTACAGGCAAACAGAACTAAGTTCCAGTAGATGGATAATGCTTTGGTTTGATTTTTAAAAAAAGGAAACATCCAATCCTTAGTTTGAAACACCTGGAGCAGTCCAATGAATAAATTGCCATTGTTTTTGCATTTAATAAAACGCACTTCTAACGGAGAGGGCCAAGACAATGCTGTAATCCTCTGTCCTGGTGGGAAGACATTCGAGCCAGCATACGGACAGCAGCTGAGTATTTTTAAATTGCTATCACCGTATCAACAAGTGCTTCACGTAATCGCAGAGTCCATCGGGACTTTACACAGTGCTGCCCTTGGCTATCAGATTGGGGTTGGCAGAAAGTTAGGAAACACCAATTAAACCACACTAGGCAAAATATTTCCCTGGGAAGTATGGGGAATGGAAAATTACTGAGCATAAAGACAGTGCAAGTGTTCTGGGCTTTTAAAAAGATTTGGAGAAGGAAAACCTATGATTAATAAAGAAAATGCTTTACGAAAGACAAGAGAAAAACATTTTAGCTGCAGAACAGAGGGCACACAGCACCCGTATTTATGTAAAAGCCTGACAACGGGTGTGATGCTGGCAGTAAATCAGGAATAGCTGAGGTTCTCCTTCCTACTACTGCAGCTACATAAGAGAGATAATTTTAAAGTAAGAGAATCCTTCATTAAAGGGTGATTTGAGCAAACTTAAAGTAGACATCACAGGGAAGTTGCGAGAATGACATCTTAAGAGAAGGTAATCGTGCAATAAATGACAACAAGTGAAAAAAAAAAAGGTTTTTTTTATTTCTCAGCGTTTCTCCACCGTCAATACTGTCCTTTTGCTGCAACAGGTTGCAAAAAACCTCTCTGCCTTTTCCATGTTAAACAGCTACAATATTTACAGGCTGTTTCCAGTAACACACGCAGACACATACACACTCACAGACACGCAGGTACACATATCCCTACCCCTGACAAGGTATCCGTTTGCTGGTAGAGGCAATAGGTATTTTCATTGTCCATTAAAACCAAAAGCCATCCTCTCCTTTACGCTCTACTCCCCTCTCCCTCCGCGTCCTAACCAGCAGCTTACTGTCGAGCTTCCGGGGGCGCCTGCGTTAACAAGGTAACATACCCAGCTATCTGATCGCCATCTTTCAGCGTTGTGGACTAGGTGTACTGGGACTCGCTCAGCAAACTGTACATGCCAGAAATCATAAAAATCGCTCATATTCAGAAGTTTGTGACCGAGTGATGTACGTATACTCCCAAAATCTTTTGGAGCAGCCATCTTAATCACCTTTGTGGAAATATGCGTTATCATGCTGGGGTGAAACAAGCCACATGCTTTACTTTCCACCAAGGTGTTATGTACCCACTTTTTTACTAAGGCACCAGTAATTACCAGTTTAATTTCTGAGAGAGTCCAGCGCCACTGAATGTACTGCATTAGATTATCAAATAGCAAGCCAGACAAGAAAAGAATAGATGCCTATATAATAGGTATAAAATTCCTTAATAAAATTAAGTACATAAAACCTGTGGTGGTATGACCCCAAATCCAATACAAGTTGAATAATATTCGAGTAATATCATTAACGGTAAGAAATGTGACCTATCCTGCTCCATTTTGTGAACGGAGAGTTCTGTAGTTGAGAAAGATCTTCAGAGCCGTGTCTCTGTAGCTACACTCCTAGGTCGCACGGTGGTGCACGCATTCTCAGAGAAACGATCTGAAGTTGATCCGGTTGCAAGGCAGCTCTTCTCCCCGCCTCGCCCCTCACGCCCTCGTCCAGACCAAGCTTTGTGGCCACTTGCCAAGCAGCCATGGGCACGGACCCATGCGACAGGTCTTCGTCTTTCACCTCACCAGTCACCTAGGCTTCTTGTAAGAGTTCTTCAGTTCCCAAAGGGGCTGTGAACCTGGGGGTAAGGAATGCCTGGTGGCAAACTACACAGCTGATCGGAAAATTGAGATCATCACTCGGACACATGCCAAATGTCCCAGGCAAAGTGGCTGTAGGACCACTCAACCTACACGGAATTACCTTAAAACATAGTCATTGTCTTCCCCCTTGCTCTCCCCTCAGCTCTGAAATCGCTTCCTAAATGCTGAATCACGAGAGAGATTCCCAGAATTCATCACAAGCATTGCACAGTGCAAGCGGCACAGAAGCCTGGGTGTCATCAGTGGTGTCACATACACGTTTTAGGGTTTTGTTCGTTTTAATCAGAACATTTTAAAAGATTTCACAGGGAGGTGAAATGGGAAGAGGTTTTGAAAAAATTAAGTAGCAGCCATTTTCACCAATGAACAGAATCTGATTAGTGGGGTTTTCAAGCACTTTGCTGTGATTTGAGTATTTGTTTTAGGGAGCAGTAAGACCTTACGCACGTACACACAGATACCACCTTTAAAGAAATCTGTGAGAAAACAGACTAGGATCTACCTGGAAGCTAAACCAACAGGACTCAGCTGGAATGTTCTCATGGCAGGAGAATATCACACAACGCAAGTGGACAGAGTTAAAGCACTCATCTATAATGGGTTTGCATGAAAGCTTAGAAAGATAAAAAAATCTGCTCTACACTGAGCTCAATCTGGACTGACAGGACTAGTTTGAAAATACCCATCTTTTCCATACTCACAACAGGAGAAAAATACTATGCATCAAGACAAAGGCCAAAGAGAAGAAAACAAAAGATGAAATTATCTCTACCTGGAACAGAGGTTTCCATGGACAGATTGATCCTGTGGGGAGTTAGGAGAAAAACAAACACTGTTTTGTCACTTGCACAGTGGAAACCAAGACAAACTTTCCACAAACCAACATCAAATCTTACATAAAACTTAAGAGTTCCGAATGCAGGAACACTTTAAAAACCAAAAGTTAATTTTCCAAAGCCTTATGGAGGAGTGAAATTTCAACTAGGTGGCTTCTGTTGAGCAGGTCTGGAATAGGTACAAGCACGATGTGAATGGCTTCACATCAGGTGTTCGCTGAGTATCTGAAAGAAGGCATTAACCTGTTAACTGGCCACATTAAACTCCATCTCCTGAAGAGAACATACCAAAAGCCTTAAGACTACAAAAATAAAGATCCATCAGTTCTCTTTGCCCCTTAAAGAAAGCCTTTCTTTTTCCCCACCTCCTGTTTGCTGATCTAATTCCAGGCAGTTATATATTCTCTAGAATTTTTATGTTAACAAGTCATCAATTCCTATCATGTGTGTTACCAGCAATAGATATTGTCATTATCTTGCCCTGAAGAGAGTGAAAGGAATTGTTCAGCACCAGGCTTAACACACTGGAAGTTGCTTCAGTCAAGTTTTCAAAAAAAAAAAAAAAAAAAAACCCACCTATGTCTTCTTTTTTTTAGTCATTTTTT